TTAGCTGTTGGCTGACCTGTTCACTCTGACCATATTTTGATTGTACCAAATATACAATGACCATTCCTCCTAATGTTTACTTGATTTTTTAGTCAACAAAAAGTTCACAAAATTATAGAATTATTGCACCATAGCAGTGGAGAGCTTTCAGTTGGAAGGGAATTTACTTGAAATTCTCTTCAATATGAAGGGAAACCTAAGGAGAAAAACTAAAGATGAACTTGTCCACCCATCTCACAAAGAAACTCAGATTTCTCAAGCTCAGCCTCTAGTGTGCATACTTTCTTTCATCATTCATGGATCTCTACTGGGTTTATACAATGGCTGTTAACAATAGCCGTTTAGTCTAGAATATGGCAGGATGCTTTCTTCCCAGTTAGAATCCAACTCCTCAGTGTCATGATATTTGGCTTGACACTAGTTCATTCTTCAAGTTGATTGCTGTTGCTGGTGCTGGTGGTTAGGTGAAATAGTTGAGAAAACATTGGTATAGGTGTAGAGGTGGCCATCTTTCTTTTAGTCTGTATTAACTATTTTATACTATAATTGGTACCAGTTTTGTTACACATAAGCCTACTGTTTCCTTGCAAGATTGTTTTCTGACCTTTTTGAACTCTCTGATTTTTATTTTAGAGAATATAAGTAGTCAAAACAAGTAGGTTGCCCTTTACATCCCACCAACTTATAGAAGACATTTCAAAAATAAAATACTGTGGCCTAGATTATATAATAAGAGAGGATTGCAATATTCTTCTTGAAGATTTCATGAACTTAGTCAAGCAAGGAAGAGTACTTGATTAATCTTCTGATGCCCTTCAAGATGAGAGTCCTTGGTAGATTACCTAATCTAGTTTAAAGAATGAAATTTCAGATAAATGAACCTGAAATTGACACTGAAGGATTGCTATGCTTTTGAGAAAAAGAATAAGCAAATTTAAGGAAAAAATGAGGACCTTGGAGATATTTTCAGGAAAAAAGGACATCATAAACCCATGTACAATGAAAATTAGTTGTTATTTTATATGCCTAACGTGCAGACATTGGAAAAATATCTGTGATGAGCCTGGAGATATAAACATTGACCCAATTCTAAAGAACATTTGAAATCATATTAAGGAGATAATTTTTATCCTAAGAGCCATTAAAAAGTATGAGAATTGATCTGATCATCTTTTCATTTTACTAAAATCATAATAGTCACAATGAAGTCAGGAAAAGGGAGAGATAGAAAGATATAAGAATATTCTGAACTAAGGCAGTGAGGACACAAGAATTAGAAGCACACGATGTTACATATCAGTATAGCATAATAATTGTGCATAGATAGACACACTGGCTTCAAACAGCATAATAGATAAGGTTCAGATGACCTACTACATGATTATACAATTGGACTATACTGTGTATTTGCAAATTTTAGCCTGTATTTGTGGCCAGTTATTTTAAAATAGAGATCAAAAGTATCTTCAGGTGTGCCTGCTAACTGGTCAAAAGACAAAAAAACAATTCAAGAAGCTTGAAAGCTCAGTGGTAGAGGACATTTGGATCAATTCTCATTCTTATTGAAAGCCAGCACATAATCCCATGTAAAATCTGTGCGCAAGAGTGAAAGTTCTTGTGTATCCTTGTAAGTACCATGGTTTCCTGAAAATTTGTATTAATAAACTAAAATATGTACCAGATAAGCATCTACTTGAGACTTGAGTTCAATTGTCTCATGAAAAATCCTGATGTGGCTGCATCACAAGCTCTCACAGCTTTTACACACACACACACACACACACACACGCACACACACATTCTGCCTGCTAGGAGCCTAGTGATGAGTGTTCTTTTAGTTGCCTTTGGTTTTCAACTGCTTCTAGTCATGCTTGTCATTATAATTCGTTTTAGATTACCTTTCTCACAGCCAATTTAGTTTGTTTAGGATAGTTTTCTTTATGCAATGATGTGCATGAATACTTTTATCAATAATGTGTTTGGGCTTTACATTTTTAATAACTTCACTAGAATGCCTTGTATACTGTGGCTCAGAAACTTCTGAAATCACTGTTGCATCTTTCAGAAGTGCAGTTCATCTTTCTTGTGCAGTTCATCTCATTATTTATTGCTAATTTATTTTAATAAAATGGAATTTCTGAGTAATGGTGTTCTCCAAGTGAACTTGAAATCCAAGAGAACTATTGATTTAGGACAGACAGGAGGGGGTTTGAGAGGAAAAAAATGTGGGGTTTTGAGGAAGGAGGAAACAAAGACTTAAGACCTCCAAATCACATGTTTTTCTTTATACAATTTGTCGCAAAACTCTGTGACAATTTGAATCCTTCTGACTTCTTGAAATGATGACCTCAGTTTCATGCTGGTGTTAGCTGGAAGCTGTCTCAAATCTGAGCCACAGATCTTCTCTATCAGGCAGCATGGAATCTTGCAAGATACCAGATGAAGACAGTCATATCAAAAAAATGAAAATCACAATGTTTTATAATCTAATCTCAGAAGAGATATTATGTCACATTATTTTTCTCCTGAAACTTTTAATTTGAGGAAAGAAGAAACATATTTTACCCCAAGACTTAGAGTAAATGAAACGGGCTCATTAAGCACAAATGAATTATCTGAGTTATACTCATACCCTAAAGAGCATATTATAAGTTGAAGAGGGTACAGTACCAATTATACCATTATCTCACCCTACTCTCCGAGTGAATAGTCTGAAAGCCTAAAATTACAGTTGATGTTAGATTTCTTGGCTTCATGTGCAAATTGGAGTCATTTTCCCTTTTTTGGTGAATGCATGAACACATGTTATATTGTTTAAGGGTAGCAGTCCTTAGAGTTTGTTATATTTTTCATCTTTTTGTTCCTCCTGTTAAAGGACCTTTTTTTTCTTTTAATTTGGATCGTTGCAAATCAGTGTAACAGTCATCTCCAAAAGATTTGCAATGGTCTTAAGTACCATTTGAGCTAAGGGTTTTTTGGCATGTCATTTTTTAGGCAACCAGTTCTGGACAAGACCCTTCAACTAGCCAGATGTGCCATTTTGGAACAGATTGAAGGTCTTCCAAAACACCATTTGTTGCCAGTAACGGATATTGAAGGAGGGGGTTCATCACCCTGTTACCATATTTTTGCACTTCTTAACGTTGCATAAACAGGCAGCTGTTCTGTATTTAGAATATAAATTAGTCACCAGCTTGCTCTCCCTGGAGAATATAACTGCAAAAGAGAACCATGGTGTTAACCCCTTCTGATCACTTGCATGAGTGTCACATTGAAATGCACACTTCTCTAAGCCAATTCAGAAGCAAATCCTCATGCATATAAATCACACCTTTCTTGCTAGTTAGACAAGGGAACCAAAAATATGCAGTTCACAATGCTGAAGTGGAACACATTTTCTTAGCACCAAAACAGTCAATTAATCAGTTTATAAGCTGAGAGTGAACAATACATGCTGAATTATTTTTTATTGCTCCTTCAGTAAGAAACAAAGTTCTCTAATCTCACAAAGGGCCATGACTTCATTAAGATGGGAAACCATGTTAAAGGATGCGTTGGAATAGAAAAGAAAAGCCCTAAAAGCCACTCAGTTTAATCTCTAGAGCTATTTTTAGGATAGAAATTTTTCTCTATTTGGAGAATGACAATTAACCTAGAGACTTTTCACAACAACAACAACAACAACAAAACAGAGTGCTGAAGTGGGTCTCATTACAGGACAGGGAAGGCAGTTGGTTTGACCTAATCCCCATTTACTTCAAATAATTTACATAACAGGCAAGCACAAGCTGCTTAATGCTGAATTCAGCCAGCACATACATGTATGTATACACACATACATGCACACATATGTACACACACAGATATACATACATACAAACTGTATGCATGTGCATACGAATGTATTTATATATAATATATATAACAAGCCATACATGCAAGTATACACAGATACATATAGATTTGTTTTACCCTATATGTGGTTCCTTTTTGCAGGAATGTCAAATAATAGGAAAAGTGAATGCAGTACAGAGTAGCAGAGATAGCTGGAAGATACATACATTACCTGGTCTCTACTTTTTTTTAATATTCATCTTAAAATAGTCATGGCTGTTATTTGCCAAATAACCCAACCTTTCTGCAATGTGATAGGACCAAGTTGCTTCTAAAGTTCCAAGTTGCTTGCCAGCAGCAGCAAAGCAAATGCTGATAGATAGGTGACATTTGGAGAGCTAGGCACGCCAGATTTTCTGAGGTTACCACGGAGGTCCAACCTGCTGTTCTCCTTAATGAAAGGAGGGGAAATTCAGACTGGCAAAACTGCTATAAGGGATATCTCTGCTCTGAATGTCACGCTGCCCAGATGTCACTTGGCAGGTGGAGAAACAGAGAGAATGAAAATATAGCCCTGGGTATGTGGGTGCTAGCGCGTTGCAAGGGTGAACAATGAGTCTGTCTTCTGAAGCATAATGAAAATAGTGTGGCTCTTGTCCATATTCATTGCACGAGAAAGGACTTTCTCAGGGAGTTGTCACTCCATTTCCCCCATGGCAAGAGATGAACATATGCTTACAAACCTGGGCTCATGACTTGCTCTAGGTTTTAGTATGTCTTTACCATTTTTTTAATGTATGCATGTACATATATGTGTGCTTTTCCCTTACAGATAACAGAATTATAGTACATAAGTTGTTCTGTGGCTTTTTAAAAATTAAATCTCAAATAATACCATAAATATTTATTGTCTATTTGTCCTGAGACTCATCTCAGTTTTAAAATTGGATTTTTGAGCAAAAGTACATGACCATGTAATCATCCACTCTCCTATTAATGAGCATAAATGTTGTCTCTAAAATACTTTAAAATGTGCACAGCTCTCTTCTCAATAAATATTCAAGCAGTGTTTTACTAGAACAAGTAAGACTTGAAGTTACATTTTGCAAGAAAACACTACAGTTACTGAAAGTGAGTTTTCTTTTATTGTAATTCTTTTTCTCCAGTGTTGCGAGATGACTTCCGGCAAAACCCCACTGATGTTGTTGTGGCCGCTGGAGAGCCTGCGATCTTGGAGTGCCAACCTCCACGGGGACACCCGGAACCTACCATCTACTGGAAAAAAGATAAAGTTCGAATCGATGACAAGGAAGAACGAGTAACTGTGAGTTAAACTGCAATGAAGACCTAGGAAGTCTGAATTCCATATCTAGATATGAATATATTTTATTCTGTAATTTATTGTTAATAAAATTGTATTTTAAGCTGGTTACTACTTAAAGCATTTTGAAAGGACCTTTAAAAACCTGGCATGCGGCTTCAAAGACAAGTTATACAAACAAGTCAGGTGTACAAGGTATATTGTTGGCTGTACCACTCTGAATATGTAAATATATCTTTGAAGTATGACATTGATGTTTTAGCTTTTTCTAAATTCTCGAAAGGCTTCTTTGAGCCTTATTAAGTATCCATGAGCCATATTAACTGCATTTCATTTTGCACCATTTTCAAAATTATAAGAGAAAATAATTTGAGGTGATGAATTTCTCACTTATTCTAGTTGTTCCAATTAAATAATACTTATAGCAGCATAAATGTATGCATAAATTAATTTTAAAGCAAATTTAGAAGAAGTGAGTTCAAGTAATTTAGTTCAAGTAGGAAAATATTCTTCCTTCCAAGAAAATTGAAGATCAAGTTCATTAGTTGATTTAAGATTCAAAATAAGACAACCAGAAAGTGGTAATGAGGATAAGCAGGGGAATATCATGTAATCTTTTTTATTTTTGGCAGTATATATAATATTTGTATGTGAAGTTTATAAGTAAGAACCTACCCATTGAGGTAGAATATATCTTTTGATGTTTGTTAGTAAAATTTTTAGTTAGTATAATAACTGAAAATCAATGCATTTTATTGAAGGTAAATTCTTGACTGACCAAATGTGATATTTCAATCAAAAGTTCATATAATTTGAATCTTATCTTTGAAAATATATTTATGATAAATGAGGATTTCTCCTGTGTTCACACTGAGATTACAGTGTAACATAGAACTGATAGGTCATGTAAGAGATCACCACATATGGTCTTCTATTTTAGGCTTTACTGTTAACACTGTGAGAATCTATATCCTAAAGAGAATTTGGTCCCAAATGGGCCAGACTTGTGTATCAAACTTTTGAAAATATGTTATTTGGCTTTTGCTCTGTAACAAACCACCCCTAAGTTAAATGGCTCATAGAAATCATTTAATTAAGACCATGATTCCACAGGAAAGCTAATAGTTCTTCCCCGAGTCAGTTTGTTTGATCTCTGCTAGACTTTCTCATCCTTCCATGGCTTATTTAAATGTATGCTAGCAGCTGAATGATCTAGCACAAGCTTGCTGACATCTGCAAATAAACTGGCTCTCAGGTAGACATCTCAATCTTCTTACCAATCATTTCTAATTTTTCAGTAGAGTAGCTCAGGACGGCCCTGCGGTGTCAGGATCCATCTGTAGCAAGAGAAGGCAAATCCACATGTGCGAGCACCTTTTTTTATGGCAAAAGATTTGCTCTGGTTCCATTGGTCAAATCAATTCACATTGTGAAATTCAGCTTCAAGGGGAAGAAAAATGAATTCCACAATCATTTTTTATAAACCGCCATTAAAACATACTGGATTTAAAGGAAAATATAACCATAGTCTTTTCTTCTCGTGTGAAAAACAGTTGAAAATCTTTTTCTATTACATGGCAAATTTCAGAGCTAAATTTCTCATCTATCTTTGATAAGAACAAACCTACTTGAGATTTGTTTACTTATGAAATTAAAAAATGGATGAACCACCATGTTTTTGTCTCATATCACTTTAAGATTATTCAATCACTGTAAAGTTAAGAATATTAAATTAGATTAATTAGAAAAAATAGAAAAAAGAAGTGAGCTGTTATTCACTCATCTGAAAAAAATTCTGATTGAATATTCCCTTTAGCAGACATTTTTCTGTTTATACTACAGCTTTGTTCATTCACTCAATAAATCCTTCTCATTTAAGAAATATCTATTTAGAGAACACTTATTATTGTCTATGATTGTATCAATTCATACTGGTACCCATAATCACAATAAATATGTTTTATAATTTCATTTGTTTTTATCCAACCTGTCCTTCTTACAAAAATTATTTCTTAATTACAGTTGATATAAAAAAAAGAGGAGTAACGCTATCCATTGAAATGCAAGGCTTATGAAGGCATTGTTTTTCACTATTTAGCTTGCTACCGCACACTAAATGCCTGGCATACTTTTGGCCCTTACAAATGCTCAATAAAGTGTAAATAAGGATTAAAAGGATTAATTGATACTTTGAAATAGGAAAAGGTCTAAAGGGGTAGGGGTGGTGGGAGGGGAATGGGAAAGGAAAGAAGGGAAAGGAAAAATTATGAGAAAAGGAAAAAATGGAAATGAAGTCTATGTAAATAGGGAAGGGTGGAGGGGGTGAAGGGCGCACAGGTAATTGGGAAAAAATAAGAACCAAGATACATCATGTACAGGTACACGCACCCAATGATAAATGTAAACATATTGTATACCTGAAATGTACCAATAAAAGAATTTAAGGAAAATAATGCTCAATAAATACTTGGTGAATTCAAGGTTTCTACTATACTATCCATTATAATTATCTGTTATAATTTTCTGATGACAAATGAAGATAGTAATTCCTTCAACAGCATCTCAGCATGAAGGCAACCCTTGGGATTTAGTCAGGATTGTCACATGATTCAACCTATGACCAGGCAAGAGACAGGAAGACTATTGTAAAGAAGCATCCCCCCCCAAAAAAAAGAAAGAAAAAAAAGAAAAGAAGCATTCCCTAATACAGAGACTCATATTGGGGTTGTATTCAAAAAGTAAACCATACTTACAATGCCTAAGTAGTAAGAGTGACTTGAGTCTTAGATACAGCTGTTATGTTTTGGAAAGAAAATAATGTTTAAGTATTCAAAATTATTATTTAATGGTTTTTTTTCTTTCCTGTTTCTTTTCCTTTCCCTTTTCTTGACTTTTTGTTTAATTTTAACAGATTCGTGGTGGAAAACTGATGATCTCCAATACGAGGAAGAGTGATGCAGGAATGTATACCTGTGTAGGCACCAACATGGTGGGAGAAAGAGACAGCGACCCAGCAGAGCTGACTGTCTTTGGTAAAACTCTCTTTGGAATTATAAATTGCTATTTATAGTCCACTTTTCATTTGTTTTAAGATGTTTTTAATACTAAAACCAGACCATATATGAACCTTTGCTCATTATTTGTGATAACAACCACTTAGAATTGTCTAGTTTTAAAATTTTTTGGTCAGTCTGATAAAAAATTGATGTTGAGAAAGAACTGTAAAACATCAATTCACTTACTTTATCGTTATAGTTGAAATATTTTGGCTTTCATCAAAATGTAAAAAATTGCTGTTCTCAACATCTATTTCAAATACTATCTTTATCTAATGTTTATCACTGGTTCCACTTTAATGCATTTATCATATATATGATAGATATGTGTGTATATAAACTTACCTTAATATAAGTTTTCACTACTGTAGATATTATGTGATTTTTAAAAGTTTCAAGATAGTATTGTGATTTTAAGTGAATTTCAGTGCCAATAAAATAATCTCTTGATTCTATGCATGACATGATACCATCCCTGTTTGTGGTCATTCCTCTAGGACATGCACAAGTGTAGGCTCAAAGTCCTGCACCATTCCCTAAAGAAACTTCTTTCACAGTTTAGGAGGAGCCCATGCAAGTGCCTTCAAGGAAAGAGGAATATTGTGATTTTCCATTACATTTCAAGAGCTAAGGTTGTGCTTTATGAATATGTACCAGAGTGCAGGCCTGCCTGTTCAATCACTCTGAGTACTGTATAATCTCTGAAAATACTCCCTGTGGATACTAAGCTGCTTGAAGTCCCAAATGACAAAGCCAGGAGAAATCCCCTAATTCATTATAAGAATCGAATAGCAAAAATAAAATTGTTCAATGTATGCATGTAAATTTCTGTCCTTGAGAGCTCAGAAAAGTATCAGTTTGCCCCTAAATTTTATGCAGTTGTCCCTTAAGAGACTCACAATGTATTCTACCCTCTAATGAATAAAATACAGTTTTGCCGGGTAAGATGGGAAATTAGTGGTCACTGAGCATTAGCAATGAAAGCCCACAAGTAGAGCTCTTCTATTTAAAGAAACACTCATTGCTATTTTTATGTAACTGCCACAGCTTTGGATTAGAAAAATGTATATTGTAGAAGGATAGACTGCCTTCAGAAGGAAATTGAAAGAGTTTAAATCATTACCCAAGCAATTAGAATTACCAATAATGTGTCTGGATTATGAAATATTTACCTGCTTTCCTTAAAGACATGATGAGAACTGCAGGAGACCCCTAAACATGTCAAGAGTCGTGGGGCAACTTCTAAATTATTTTGAACATAACTATCAACCAAAGAGATTGAATTTGTCTAGAAGCAGTTTCTCTGGAAGAATTGATCAGGAAGATGAGAAACGTTTATCTATTGGTATAAACTAGACAGAACTGACCTGAGGTGCTGTAAGTTGAGGGAAAATATTAAGTTAAGGGAAAAACTAAAATTCCATCATTGATAAGAGAACAACATCTCAACTCAGAAGAAAAACAGAGGAGATAGTCCAAATCAAGAACGTGACAAATATTGTCACATTGGGAGAAATCCTGTCTTTCCCTTGACTTCCTACTGTTAAAAAATAGGAAAAAGTGGTATGCTTTTCAAGGGGAAGCCTTCTTTGTTTCATTTTGGTGCTCTTACCTTCAGGACATATTTTCTAAGAAACCTCATTATATTTCACCATTGTTAAATATTATCATTTCTTATCTAATGTTTACAAACCTGGTTACATCTCACACTCCACCTCCATTTTATTTTCATGTAACAGCAACTCCACCATGTGACTGTCATAATCACTGTGTACTCCAGAGGCCTTTGAGTGTCCTTTGCAACTCCATAAAAAGCAACTCTTGATATTGAGTTGCTCAAGAAATTTAATTGATTTATAATTTGCAAGGACATGGAAAGGAATAAATGTTATTTTTCTTATATAGTAGTCATCTACATCTGAGATAAATTGCTTGAAAAAATTTCTCTTCTTCAAATATTCTGAGTCTTTCATAAACAGGTTTGGATTTAGATGTTTTATAGTTTGAAATTTTCACTTATATTGTTAAAGTGTTCCCTTTTGACCAGACATGATGAATGTAAACTAATCTTTAAAAAGTTCCTGTGCCATACTCCATAAATTATCTATTTTCCTTGTTGTGCAATATTTTCTGTCCATGACCATTTTTATTAAATGGGTACTATCAAATATAAAAATTAAAATACATTATTATGGTCTAAAATGACAGCAAAGTCTATGGCACAGTCTTTAAATTCTTAAAGAACATCGCCTTACAGTTTACATTTGTTAAGTCTTAAAGATCCCAAAGTCAATGAAACTAGAGTTGAACTTCTGTATGCCATTAAATTTTTAAATATGGTGTGATTTTATATGTTTCTAAGTGTTTTTTAAAAATAATAAAATATAGCATGTACATATTTCACAATAATTTTAAATCTCTATTAAAGTAATGCATGAAAGCAGATTTTTTGTATACAAATGCTAGATTATATCATAGGTATTATGAAACATAACAAAATAAAAAGATATCATGCACCATAGTTTTCCAATAAACACACACACACACGCACACTCTCCTCATCATTGAATGTATCTGAATCTACTTTATCCTTTGCTTCTAGTATTTATTACTGTATTTCTACATATTTGCTTATTTTTTATTGATGTATCAACTATATACTTTGTTTTACCTTATATTTCAAAAGATAATTATTTGACCCACTAATATCTATCTCCTCCACTTTCTTATTTGAATTTTCTCAATCTCCCCTGGCCCTACTCTTTCTAGTAAAGTTATTTTAGGAACATTGGCTATGTTTTTAATATTCAGTAAAGTGTTTTAATTGTAAATATTATCAACCATGTGCTGAGTTTTATACTATTGTAATTGCAGTTCTCTTCTGATGATACATTTGCTTTTCTGTAAATTTATAATAATCCATTTTTCACTTATGTTATTCTACACCTGTTATAAATACTTGAAAATCTACATTCTATCTTTCACTTAGTGATTAAATACCCTCCTCACTGTGGCTTCCTGGAGATCTCAGACTGCCCACTGGGTCTAACTGGAATGTATATTGGATCTTCTCCAGAAACTTCCTCTTGATTTTTTCTTTCTTCTTTTTTATGTTGATCCCCTACTTCCTGCATGCTATATTTGCTTCTTTATTCCCTCTATTCAGCAGTGTTTCTGACTTGCTTTCTGCTTGACTGGACTTGAGCACATTCCGAACCAAACTTTTTATTCTAACCAGATCTTAAATTATAAAATTTTAGTATAAAAATAAATTTGCTCAAAATATTAAATTTACCCTTCCAGTATCATTTATCTTGTGTTGCTCTTGAAAAGTCTGCTGTGATTCTCTGATTATTGCATTCCTATATCTTTAGATGTACTCAGATTTCTTTTTTCTCTTTTCAAACTTTTACGACTTTCTTTTTGCCCATTTTCTGAATAGTTTTGGTTTGACATTCATTTCTTTCCCTGTATACATTCTAGGCGAATATTCTCAATTGTTCTGAAAACTAAGAACCAAAACAACTCAACGAAGTCTTCTCTCCATTCTTCTATTCCATTTCTCTGTCAAAAATATAGTTACTAATTAAAAGTTATACCTTCTAGGCCTTTCTCTTCTCTAAATTTTCTTATCCATAATATCCTTTCCCTGTTTCATATGTTTATATTTTCTCTTGTTCGACACAGTTTTAAAACACTGTTTTTAAATTAACTTTTGTGATACGTCCCTTCCTACATTTCCTTAGTTGTTTTCTACCTGCACTCTCCTACATGAAGTGTTCTGTTTTTTGCACTGAAAGACTTCTTTAAATAGTTCCTGTGATCTATTGTTCATTCATATGTAATTGCTGCTCACTAAAAAGATTATTAAGACATTGTGCTAGCCAGTGGGTTTCAATGTAGGATGTCCAGATTGGCAAGTAGCCAGTTCACTGAGGATGAGACACAGATGGGGGCTGATGATGCTGATCGCTGATTTTCAGTAACTGGATGTGAGAGAACTCCGATGATGAATGGAGAGTAGCTGAGATATACGTCGCTAACATTGTGGGAAAGGATAACTCAAGCCAAACATTTAGAAGTATCTATATTTTAAGTATATTCTATGGTTTTCTGTGAGAATCAAGATGTTAGAATATTAATACGATTATCAGGAGACATGTAATTCTCTTTTGAATATATTTCTTCTATCTCTACTATTTGTTAAACCTTGTTTAAGTTCTTAAATAAAATATTTAATAAAATTCCTAGACAGGGCCTTTGCTCTCAAATGTATTTTCATACCATGTTCAGCAGTAACATGAAATTTGGCCTCTAAAATATAGTGAAAGGAGGGCTGGGGATTTAGCTCAGTGGTTTTGCTGCCTGCTGCACAAACCCAAGGACCTGAGTTCAATTCCCGGTACCAAAAAAAAAAATAAATAAAATAAAATAAAATATAGTGAAAGGTATTTATTTCCCTCAGAGAGCATTTACTTATGTGGGTATTTGCTTCCTTGGGTGATCACACCCAGGTAAGAACATTTTTTGCAAGGAGAAATTAATGCAGTCAGGATTTGTTTTATCATATTCAGATGGCATGAATCCAGTTACCTACTCTTGTTTGTTTTGTTTTGTTTTAAGGACTCAATACACATTCCATAGCTATTGGACCCACCTTACCCTCATTCATGCCTTGTTAAATAAAAGGAGATCTATAAGGCCAGCCATCTGATTTCCTCTTTTCATAGACACAGCAGTGTGCAGATGTGACTGGGGCAGCTGAAGTCAAACAAGGTTTAAAAGCAGTGGATAGCTCTAATGTCCTTTTATTGCAGAGTTTTGTCATTACGGGACTTAAAGGACTCTATCTATGTAATTATTGCCACAATACTACTTTTACAATGTCAAGCAAAGTTTATTTTAAAATTACTTAGGTCATCCTAGAAATGGCTGCATGGCACAGCCACTGGCAATTTTATAACCTTTTTCAGTGA